TGTACGCGAACATGCTGAGCATGTTCGGCCGACCCAAAGCCACACGAAGCAAGCCGATGTACGGCTGAGTGTTCGGCTCACTTCACTTCAGATCGGTCATTCACTCGGCTGCTCTTGGCAGCTTCGTGAATAGACACCTTTGTATTTTGAATTATTGGAGTTTATTCACTAAAGTCAGACAGGCTGTTTACTTTGCAAGGGAATTAACACTTTGCAGAGGAATTTTACATACGCTTAATAAATGAGATGAAGCTCTGTTGATTACCATCATACAATCATGAACAAGCAAAAACATTTTTTGTGTTCCTTGAATGTGAGTGGGTATTTTTTCCAAAGTGAATATTTACCACATTCACTAAGCAAAGGTAACACTTTCTTGCAAAGTGAACAGTCCATTTTTGTTACTAAATCAACCCCATTAAGTAATATTGCATTCACAAAGTGGTTTAAAGACTTATCATACTGAGATAAACAATAAAATAGCCATTGTCAATCTTCTGCTACAAAATCTAGCTGCCTGGCCATCTCTACCTTGTATACTTTCTGAGCTCAGTAAACATTTATCATCTTTTAAGAGCATAAAAGGGTATGTCAGGTCAAAAACATCCCTAAAAACCAAAATGTAATGTATTGCATCTTACTAATTGTAGTTGTCTGCATTAGTTTTAATTTTCTTTAGATGTTTTTTATTTTTAGCCATGTGATCCAGCCAGTAACACAGTCTTTAGATGGCTCAAATGTATGGAGGAACAACAGAGCCACCCATGAACATCAGCATTGTCACCCTGTCGGAAGGGTGGTGTTAGATAAACTAAGCAGTAAGGGGCCCAACTCTGAACCTTGGGGGACACCACTAACAACCTCAGACCATTCGGAGTATGAATAATTGATCACTACTCTCTGAATACGGTCTTTAAGCCAGTTTTCTATCCGATTACAGATTGAGTACTCTATACCTACTGACCTTAAATTATACATTAGCCGTATGTGGGGAACTGTGTCAAATGCTTTTGCAAAGTCCAAGCATACTATATCCACATCCGTTCCTCTGTCCAATGTATTATTCACTTCCTCATAAAAAGAACGTAGATTTCTTTGACAACTTCTGTCTTTTGTGAATCCGTGCTGACTAACACTGACGATATTATTTTCAAGCAAAAACAATTGCATGTGATCCCTGATCAAAATTTCAAGTAACTTGCCAACTATTGAAGTTAAGCTCACAGGTCTTTCATCACATTGGCCTTTCTCCAATCCATCCGTACCAAGCCAGTCATTAGAGAGTTTTGAAAAATTAGATACAATGGCTTTGAAATTACACAGCTTAATTCTTTTCAGGACACGTGGGTGCAAGCCATCTGGTCCAGGTGCTTTGTTCACCTTAATTTTGTCTAACTGTTTCTGGACCATATCAATAGTCAGCCATTGTGGTTCAGTAGAGGCTACAGCGCTGTCACCCCATTATGGACTTGAGTTGCAGCCTGTTACTTGGTGTGCACAGAGCTGAAGAAAGTATTTAATAGATTTGACTTCTCTTTGTCCCTAGTTACCAACTCTGAGTTATCTGTTAAGGGGCCTACATGCTCAGACCTGATTTTTTTTACTATTAATATATTTAAATAATTTGTGGGGGTTAATCTTGCAGTCTTTTGCAACCTCGTTTTGAATCTTTGTGAGCTTTTTTTTCTTTTTACATATTTTGTTATATTCTTGGTAGCTTTCAAATGACGACAGTGTTCCTTCCTTTTTATATTTTTTAAATGTCCTGTTCTTATTGTTTATGACTATTTTAACATTGGATGTCAGCCACATGGGTTTTAATTTTAGCCTTTTAAACATATTGGTTACTGGAATATATTTTGCCGTATGGTTGAAAACAATTGTTTTGAAACATTCCCATTTTTGTTCTGTGTTTTTGATGAAAATATTATTTCCCAGTTTAAGGTATCTATAACAAATCTTTGTTTCAAAATCATCACTGGTCAAACTGGAAAAAAATGAACTTCTTATTTATTTTAAATATTTAAAACTAAAATACATTCCTTTTAAGTTTTAGGGGAACATAAAGATTACCAGAATGGATTGATATTTCTCCCCCTGAACATAGAACACAGTCATAACAACATACGTGATATCCTTCCCTTAGAGCTTTTCTAAACCCTGGAAAACATTCCTCAGAACATCGACCTCTTGGGGCCTAAGATAAAAAAGAATATAAATCATTACATACACCATTTAGTAAACTATAAAAAAAACTTCAAATTAAAAGGCACAACATGTCAATGAATGAAATGTTATTCAACATAAGTAATTTTTAAATTACATCTTTAGACCAAAAAAATAAACCAAGAAAAAAATAATACAAAAATAAACTGTTAATTATAATCCCAACATATTAAAATGGTTACAAAGAAAAAAATCAATTTAATTGATCTTACCTTTTTTATTTTTTAGTCATGTTGTGTAATATTCTTCCATGTGTGTTTGGGTGGAATTGCAGCCGTAGCTCTAATTGTAAACTGGCCTTTTGTCTTTCTTAATTTTTTTCAGGAAAACAACATGGAATGCATAGGCCCTTGTTTACTTAAGTAATAATAGGGTGTTCACTTTAAAAATCAATTTGTGACTTTGCAAGGGAGTTTTAACTAAGCGAATGTGGTGAAAACTAATTTGGGAAAGAATACCCATTCACATGGAAAAAAAAGGATTTTTGCTCACACATGATTGGATGTTTGAAGTGAGCACTTGTTACATAATGCTAAAAACTGTGTCCCAAATTTACCTTCCACAAGACAGGCCCACCAAACATGTAGATAGGTGCCCACAGCCTGCCAACACCTCCAACAGGACTCAGAAATTGAAGGGGAAATATGATGGAGTCTTACAAGGGTCTGATACCATCTGGAGAGCAACCTAAAGTTTTGCTACTGAGTTTTACACAACATAGCTAATTTATATGTAAATAAAAATATTGTCTGTAAATAAAAATATTGGAGTCCAATTCTGACAAAATGTTTTGAGTGTATGAGGGCAGGGCAGAAAACTGTTGAGAGATAAAAAGACCATACAAAATGACATGAGACGGCGGGGATGTAGACACACAGAATGTTGCAAAGGGCCAGAGGTCCCTTTGTAGGTCTGACGCAGAGTTCATAGAATGATAATAGCTGGAGAGTTGGGAATAGGACAACCAAGCCCTAATAGATACATTTTAATTGTGAGTAAACTAGAGGTGTAAAGTTAGGAAGGTGATGACCTCATTGTGTGCATTACCAGCACCCAAGAATATTCATATGATTATATTATCCGGTGGACTACTGAATGATATGGATGTGAAGTAATCACTCAGTTTTTGTGCTATGTGCATTAAGTATAAAACAAGGGGCAAGTTTTTGGAGTACATCTGTCTGTATAAATGCACATGTTTGTTTTTGGCAATAACTGATGATTTTGGCACAGCGTGATAGCAGCAGGAAGTATGAACTTAAAGGGACTTTTTAAATGAACAACTGGTGGAAACATTTAACCTTGTGATGTGGGAGACAAGTTATATATAAACATATAAAATCGCAAAGTTTGTCTGTTTATAATTTAAAAATACCCCACAGGAGGTGTCATTTGCTGTCCCTACTGATCTTATGGTTTAGAGTAATTACATCTTCCAAGACAAAGTTTTATATTGATACACAGAATGATTCATTGCACTTTAAGTAATAGGTTCTAAAAATAGGGAAACCTGTAGCAGGAGAAATATGTAGACTTCCACTGCTGATCCCCTTCTGAAAGCGCTAGCTACTTTTTTTTCTTTGACCTCAACACTTTCGTGATAACTAACCCAAAATATTTTTTAAGTTGTGAAGTCAGAGGAATATCAGAACTCCAGATCTACATTTTTTATGTCAATCATTCTGGAAGCATTATATCCTTTGGATGAACATGACAGCCATTGACCTGCAGAGTTAAAAAGGAGCAAGAGTCACTAATGACAGCCTATGTATTTTCTTCCTTTAATTTCTGTCACCTGGTCACGTTTCCATGATATCAGCTGTGGTGTGAGAGTAAGTTGCTGATTTTCTGGAAGAGATCCATCAAAGTGGCCCACACGTCTCCAATATGTGACATTTTTGTTTTCAACTTGTGTTATCCAATTTACAATTTCCAGCGGGCTTGGCAGATCCCCCTTTTCTTTAAAATATATTTCCTTGTTATGTGGATCCATGTAGTGTACTAAGTGTACATAGCGGGACATCTTAAAAATACAGAACCATTAAATAAATCAAGAATACTATACAGTACATGTAGTACTCATGCATATAAAACATACTTGCAGATCTGTCAACCATTTCTTAATGCCTACAAATTTATCATTGCACAAAGTTTAATAGGTTTGTTTGAAAGCTTGCCAAATCCTATGGAAATCCTTCACTATCCCATTCCCATGCCTGGGACCCTAAAAATAAATGGTTCTTCCAGACATTAAAAATCATGTGTTCTTTCCATGGTGTCTCCTTCTTTCTCAGTGTCTGAGCAGCCAATCAGCAAGCCTGAGCTCTGTCATTTAGTGTCAAGGGAGTGTTCTCATTCTGCATCAGCAACATCCCAGAACTAACAAAGGAGATTTCCTGGGGTTTCAAGGCTATAGGGACTCCTGAAATCTGTTGCAATCCATGAAATTCATGACTACTGGGGGACCGTTATCAGTTTGGAAAATCACAAAAGCATCAAAAGACTTCATTAGGGCCACTTATGAAGTCTGTTGACAAATACATCATGATGGAGGTTTTAAGGTTTTTAAAACAATTCATACCAGAGGTGTGTCTCCTACAAATGACTTATAAATTCCTAAAGAAATATAAATCTTCCCTCACAATCCAGTTGATTAATATGGCTAGGGCCTGTGTACCATCACTGTGAAAAAAGTCCCCTACAATCTAGATGTGGATATTGAGAGTTAATGGCATTTACACTATGGAGGATCTTACTGCCTTCATTGAAAAACCAGGAGGCAAAATATAACTGGATCTGGAGCCCTTGGGTTTATTTCAAATATATGTCCCAATACACACAAATCAGGTCTCGGGATGGACCCTAATGACCCCCCCTTTATTTTTAAGTTCCCCTGCTGGGTGCCTCGGTGGTTCAGGATATGGGGCCTGCTCTTGAATTCTTCGGCTTCTGTTTATCTCTTTTCTTTAATTGTATTTTCTTTTCTTCTCTACTTTCTATTTTTTTCTCTGTTCTAGGAGACGCTCGTGGAACCGTTGCTTTATTCCACTTTATTTACCCCTGGAGCTCTCCATTGGGGCCCCCTCACATGCTCTCCCCCTCCTCATATCTTAATTAAGATGTAACATGCCTGATGTGACCATTTGATTGCCAATTGCACAGATTGATTTTATATACATCGGTCAATTAATCTTTCTATTCTTCTACCTGTTGAACTTGAAAATGTTGTATTGTCCTTGTAAGATTACTGGATTTTCATTGATATTATTAATTCCTATCCCACCTGAACTTAACCACTGATCTATCACTTTCTTAATCAATTAATCCCCACACAGCTACCTCCTCATGTATCACTTGCCCCTCCCATTTAGATTGTAAGCTCTCACGGGCAGGTCCATTTTGTCTTAAATTGTATTGTAGCTGTATTGTCCTCCTTATATTGTAAAGTGCTGCGCAAACTGTTGGCACCATAAATATCCTGTATAATAATAATATTAATAATAATTATTATTTCACAAAGAATTATAAAAAACTATTTATACATTGGGCTGTAAATGTATATCATATCCCTAGACCTGTACACTATTGTTATTTTTGTGGTCTCTCCTATTTTCATAAGAACTGATATCTATTTGGTTATCTTGATAATTAGTAATACAGAAAAGCAAAACAAAGGGATTTTATGAGCGTACTTGGCTAAGAACAGCAGAGTGGTGTTTGGTGGTTTCTTCCACCTTATTTAGTTCAGGAATTCTTTTTAGAGTGGAGTAGGAGGAAGAGTATTGGAAGAACCTGAATCTCCAGGAAAGCTTATACATCTCATGTATATTCACTTTTGAGGTCAATGGAACTTTTTAGTCCCATGGCAGTGCTGGTGGTGGTTATGTGTATTTCTCATTTGAATTTGTAATTATTGTCTTAGGTTTGTCCCTTTTGTTTTATTTTGTCCCTTTGTTCCCTTCTTTTTTTGTGGTGTGTATTTTTTGTCTTTAGTCTGTTTCATTGGGATGTGAGTAAGGGACACTCGCCTTTTGTGCCCTGACAGGTGGGAAACTAAGTTTTCGTGTTGAGTTTCGGACAGGCAGGGATACTTCATGGAAGTGCATGGGTTATGTCTTGGGGATATTAGATTTTTTCTTGTCCTTTCTGTTGCCTAGCAACAATTAACCGAGTCTGTCTCTTGAAGCGCAAGATGGCGGTGCGTTCCATCTGATTTATAGGACGGACCACGCCATTCACATTCTCAGTGGCTATTTTGACTCCTCTTTGACTGCTAACATACCTGTACCGCATGGCGTGTGCGCCAGTGGACTGTCCCTCTGCTCTCACTGAACCTCGGTGTCCTGTCGCTATGGCAACCCGGCATCTGCATTCGCAAAGTTATGGTAATCACTGCACATGTTGGATTGTTTATATAACCCTTTTTCCCTGGTATAAGTGTATGCTTTACATAATGTGGTTTGATATGATTAATTTGCAACAATACTTAGATTTCTCTTTCACTTGAAATTGGTGAATAGAAGCTTGTCTTTCTAATGACTCCATTGTTCACAGCTGTTTGGTTTTTTTGACGTCATGTGACGTCAGGGGTGTGTCCAAGGGTGTGTTTGCACTGCTTTATGTCTATTTAAACCCTCTCTGTTCTTATCATTGTGTCATTGCTATGCCTGATGAAGGGACCCTGTGTGGCCCCCGAAAGAGCTTGTGTAACTGACATGAGTTTGCAAAAAAATCTACGAACTTTGATCCTATAAAAAAAAAATGGTGTGCTGGTGACGTTTCTGCAATTATCTGTATTTGGCGGCGCCATCCGCAGTCATTCCGAGCACCCCTCCCCGATCACGGGGTCATACCGGTAAGGAGTGCAACTAGCCTTTTCTTTTTTCCTGATCCATCAGAACGTCGGCGGTCCTACGGAGGAGAAGGTACCGCATTGAAATCCTTCGCAAATTGTTGCGGCGTGCCCTGTTCTCTAGGTCATCCAGCTTTTCTGACATCATTAGCAATTTATGTGAGGTGGCTTTGAGGTACGTGCCGTTATCAGCCGAGTCAGTTTCTAATCTGTCAATACGCTGCTCCGCAGAAGACAGTCTTTTATGTTGTGAATCTAATGCCGATGATATGTTCCCCAGATGTAGTTTAATGGCATCAGCTACTATATGGGTAATATAATTTTTCAGGTGAGATGCTACCTCAGATGCCAGTTTAGTATAGTCAATGGGGCATAGGGGTTGAGAGGTCTGCATCTCACCTTCTGAATCCTCAGTGGCACTGTGTGAGGTGATTGCAGCCGGCGCCATATTGGCTGCAGTGTGTTCTCCCTCAATGCTGTCTGCTAGTGATCGTCTCGCCGTCTGGGGACGAGATACGCATTTATCCATGTCGCCCAGCGGGTTTGAGTGATCCGTTCGGCGGTGTTCGGACATGTAAGGCGGCGGGTACCCGTGTCAATAGGATGTTCGGCGGGACGGAGAGGACGGGATCGCCGCTAACTCATCAGGCGCCGGAACCGGAAGCCTTGTCCTTTCTCTGTTCATTTAGTAACTGTCTGGGTTGGGTAACATTAATTTTTATGTATTTTCTGTTTTTTTTATGTAAGGGTATTTGTATGTTGGAGTTTGTTTTTGGGATGTGTAAATATGGATTAAAATTAGTAAAAATATATTCTATAATGTCTTAAGTGAGGACTTCTTTCTTATCTGTTTACACATATAACGACTTCTTCAACAAAAAAAAAGTATCTTCAGCTTAAGGGTGTCCATAGACAGCTAAATGTTCTCCTATTTAATACCAGCTTTTGTATTCAGGCAGCCATGATACCTAAGACCTCCTTAATAGAGTAGTGGCGGCAGGCAGTGACTGCACTTGATAAGATGTAGTTACTGTTTGACCAACAACTTTCTATCCAGCTGAGTTGAAATATTGGTTACCCTTCATGAGTCTTTTAAAATCACATACGTGTGTTGTGATTCATTGAAACCAAGGCATAATGATACTGATACAGCAGCATCATCACTGTGATGTGAACCATAGCAATCATCATCAATCTAGCAATGAAGTCGCTGAGTTGTAAACCTAAAACACAATTAATTATTTTCCCTTCAGCAGACATAACATGGTATTGAAACTCACAGGAACTGCTATTAAACCCTCACATGTACAGTATGTGTAATGGCAAAGGAAGGGAGGGTATTATTTCTTAGAGTGTGTAGTTTTAGCAATAGTGTTTAATTTGTTGAGTGGTAAAGGATAAAAGCCTCATGGATTTGAGGTAGAAGCAGTGATATTTATTATATTTATTTTTTAATATTTTAAGAAGGTGAAGCTGTACATAATGGTCTTTTATGTTTTAGAGTTTTAATAAAAGGAAAGGAGCCACATGTAATGGATTGCTGCCAAGGTAAGTTTATCAGCGTTAGGAGGCCCCTTTGCACAGACAATTTGCTTTGAATGGGCAAAGGGATAGTGTATATAAAGGTGAATTAACTCACCTTATGCACAAGGCTAGGTAACATCATCTCAGTTTCCCTTTCTTTTATTTGTAAAGAGAGATATATGTCATGCAAAGCTTGAGCCAATAAGTTCACTGCAAGAAACACTCTATAAGGAGTTTTATCATCAGGATAATTTAAATTATATTTAATACTCTCCAAAGTGCAGTTACGAACAGGATAGGAAAATGTGAATGGAATCATAAAGTCCTTCAATAGATGTTTTGAAAAGCAGCTGTGTTCAGTTATGAGAATATCCTCCTGCATTGGGTCATCTGGGCGGCTTGAGGGGGTAATGCTATTAAAATATTCCTCCATTCTCACTATAGAGGGATCAGGACTTGAAAACACCAAACTGCAATTACTGATAAAAAAAAATTCTGCGTCCATTGACCAAAAATCAGGAAGGATAAATGTTTTATTTTTGTGATAAGGAACACTACGGAACAAAAACTTGTAATACATTCTACGAATTGAGCCGCAAATAATAAGAACTTCAGTAGTTGATGTCTGAAGATCTAGAGGGATTGTATTATGATTCTTCACAGATAACATGATCTTAAATTCAATACAAATTCCATGATTAGTTAACTTTTTGCTGAGTTGTTGGATCTCCCTCTCTCCATATTCATCATCAGATGTAATGATCCCAACCCAGTTCCACTTCAAACTTTTCAGTAACTTCACTATGGCCACATATTGCATCTCATTATCTGGAACTGTCCGAAAAAGGTTTGGAAACATCTTTCTGTCACTCACTAAAGTATCTCTAGCTCCATAACTAATCTAGAGAGAAAGAAACAAATGGTTGTTAAATTAAAGTGTATGTTAAACTTTCTTCTAGTTTTCATTTGTGTGAGGAAAGGTTAGAACTTCTGCTCCCTGGGGTTCTGTTACAGAGATTTATCCTCACTTCCTGTCCTCCTGACAACAATTTCACTAGACAGGAAGTAAAGGTAAATCAGCAATAGGGACAAACAACAGAAATATAAATCCTGCAGAGGTTCTATTCTCCCCCTACTCTACTGAAGACAATCATTTTTATTTCTGTCTTTTTTTGTTGGGGAGTTCCCATTACTTAGTGTATTGTTAAAGATTGCCAGCAGAACAGGAAGTAAATGAGCCCTGAACAATAGTAAAAGCCATTCAGGGTTCTAACTATTCTATACTCTACCCAAAACAAGAAAACAAGGTTTGGTTGAACATTCACATTGTCAGGTTTCTTTTAGACATGTCCAATTCGCTTGGTTCCAAAATGACAGAATTTTTTTCTTTTTAGTCTGCAGAAGAGCAAAAAAAGTGTGAGGTTCCCCCCAATTGATAACAGACCCTTTAGGTCTGGTAGGAATGTTAGGAGGGACCCCCAAAGTTAAAACAAAAAAAAAGTGTGTGGGGTTCCCCCCAAAATCCATACCAGGCCCTTTAGGTCTGGTAGGAATTTTAAGGGGGAATCCCAGCCCCCAAAAATGGGGAAACAAATGTGTTGTCCCCCCTAACAGCCCTACCAGACCCTTGATCCGAGCACTGGCCCGGCAGGGCAGGAAAGGGGGGACGATCGAGCCCCCCCCCCCCCTGCGCCTTACCAGGCCATGTGCCCTCGGCATTGAGAGGATGTCCCCATGCAGATGGGGACACAGGCCTCTTCCCCACAACCCTGACCCGGTGGTTGTGGGGGTCTGCAGGCAAGGGGGCTTATTTGCATTGGGCACCCCTTTAATTAAGGGGGCACCCAGATGCCGACCCCCCTTGTGAATGAGTAAGGGGTACTAGTTCCCCTACCCATTCACTAAAGGGTTAAATAAAAGAGGTATTAAAAAGTCCAGACTTTTGATAAAATCCTTTAATTGAAAAAAAAACAAAGAGCCAATTTTGAATTGGGGGGAACCTCACACTTTTTTCCCCTCTTCTGCAGACTAAAAAAAAATGTCACTGCTGCAATGAACAAACAAAATTTCGACCGGACTACCTCTAACACATTTTGTCCGAATCCGAATCCCAAAACGAATTGAATTTTGGACCTGAATCCCGAAAAATGAAATAACGCAAAATCCAAATCAAAACAAAACTAAACTAATTTTTTGCCAGTGCACATGTCTAGTTTCTTTTAGGAAGTAGAATTTCCATTTGATTAATGTTCCTCTCACTTCTTGTTGTATCTTCAGGACAAGTGAAATGAAATCTTTCCAATGGGATATGGACAGCAGAAGATAATCTGACATGTTTTTTTTAACCTTTGTCTAATCACTTTTATGTATCAGCAATCAAACAAATCCAAGAATATCCTGAAAGTTAAAGATCCAACACTTTCCATTAGCTATGAATCTTGCCCAGCCTCTTCCTAAATCCTGCACATTACTATTGGCCATTGAGGCAGCCCATCATGGTGATGGGCTAGTATGAATGTGTGTGTATGTTGTGGGACTAGTGGTTAGCTCTGACCCATAATTGTCACACCTTTGCCCATCAAAAGAGCACATGTTTTGGCTACATCAAACGTGCATTGTCTTATTATTGCACAAATACTTGCAGGTGCATGCAGTCCAACCAACAACGTCTACTACATTTATTTTAATTACCACCTTTTGAAGTATTAAGTGAAGTCACTCAATTGTATTTCCTTTTAAAAATGCCATACCTGTAAAGAAGGAAAGGAATATTTTACCCCCTGCTGCCTACTCTACTAAAAACCACTCCGATGCTGAGTGCTCTTCTACTTTCTTCCAGGACTGTCAATCTCTTGGATCTCCCGGGTGCTTAGTGGTTCTTAATGTGACCAAGATATCTCCTTTGTATCCTGCAATGATTGAACGTCAGAAGGAGGAACCACCGAACTCTGGGATGAGATCCAGGAGATCAACACTAAGAGTAGTATCTGTCTTGGAAAATAGTTCAGCAGTGGATTAACGTATTTTGCGGTCTATAAGACGCTCCAGACGATAGGACGCATGGCTTCTGTGACAGAAATTCTATGACTGTCTCAGTAATAACTGTCTCAGTAATAACACAGAGCAGACAAAGAACGACGTTCTTCGTCTGCTCTGTGTGATTACTGAGACAGCCATTACTGAGATTACTGAGACAGACATTAATGGCTTCTGTGACAGAAATTCTATGACAGAAATTCTGTCACAGAAGCTGCAGTTAGTGACTGCTGAGACAGGTGGCGCTGTCTCAGTAATCACACAGAGCAGACGAAGAACGTCGTTCTTTGTCTGCTCAATGGGCTCTATGGTGAGCTCCTATGGGGGATCATGACGGGTCACGGTCCCCCAGAGGAACGGGGGACCCAGAAAACCTCGGCGGGGGGCAGACACGATCGCCGATGCCGCCGCTGCTCTATTTAATACAAGGGATCTACTTAGATTGCTTGTATTAAACGAACAGCGGCTCCCACTGTACATTCAGCTCTGCTTGTCAGGAGCAGGGCTGAATGTTACAAAAATAAACTACTCGCCCGGCGCCCGAAACTGCATGTTACGAGCGTCGGGCGATAGGTATTCGCCCCATAAGACGCAGGCACATTTCCCCCCTCCTTTTGAGCGAAAAATACGGTACATATCACCAGAATTGAGTTTCATTAGTGTGCGAAAAAGGGAGCATAGGTATTCATTTACTTCTTTGCACGTATAACATTTTTTTTTCACATACAATTTTTATTGAAAAGTTTTGAGTACAAACATGTCATACGGTATTCAAAACAATTGTATAGCAGGAAAAATAGAGAACACACAACATCAGACAATATCTACTAACTAGTAAACATCACATTCGGAATGCAGGAGGAGTACCAGATCCAAAATGGTAACAGTAAGGGTGTATATTGCATAATGTGTAATGGAGATGGGAACTAGAATCCAATGATCACTTTTGACATAAGGTACCACTCAGTATCCTGGAACAGTAGCATCAAAGCTTTCAATTGCCCGGGAGATAACTCTGTCAGAAGGAACGGGGACCAAGTGGGCATCCAATTTGTCCAGTGACATTAATTTGTGAAGGAGCTCTGTCAGGGACATTAATGAAGGGGGGGAGGGTAACAACCAATTCATCAATATAGCCTTTTTGGCCTCCAGCAGACACAGATGTCCCCAACATGAGGGATGCCTAGAGGTGGGTGTACAGGAGGATGGAGGCAGTGCGTGAATTAAACATAGGGTCGGATTAAGAGACCTCTGGGACCCGAATTAGTGTTCATGTATGACAGGGCCATAGACCTAAATTGCTGAATAGAGGGACAAAGCCAGGTCAAATGATCTAAGTCAGGGTATTTGGCATAGCATTTAGGGCAAGAGGTTAA